AATAAATGATTCCCTGAATGTGCTCCTCCTTATCTGAGCTGGCTCAGACACTGTCTCTTATCTTAGAGACCTATTATTTTAATTTAGGACAGAAGCTGTTTTCAGCCCGATGATCTATTTCTCTCTCTCTAACTCTGTCCTCCCAAGTAATTAGGACTCGCTCTAGGCTTTAATTACTTAGATCAGGCCAGGCCAGGCCTTAGCTATAAACTAAATGTGCATATGATAAAAAAAGTATTGGTTTAACTTACAGAATTAGCAATGGCATGAATGACCCTGGAAAATCCCACTGCATCGCTGAGTTCTTCCTGTAAGCAAAATTTCAGGTATAATTATGTGACGTATAAATGCAACTAACTGACAACACTGTCTGTATATTGTGACAAGATAATTTCCTTGCAACTCCATCTCAAATTAAGGTTCCCCGTTCTGTATTCTCCATTAGAGGATAATCAAATCAGATTCTAGGAAATGCAAATATTTGTGGAAATATTGTGGTCAAAGTAGGGCACTGATCTCAGCTGTATCCTTAACGGTATAAATGAAGACAAGACAACTAGTGCCACAGATCATCAACTACAAAATAAGCATGAACTGGCCTGAATGCTCTTGGAAATATCTAAGTCATGTGATATAAACTTTTCATAGCATTGCACACAATGGGTCTAAAAATAAAACTGTTTTGTTGTATCAAATGTTTTTGTTTATTTCCATTTGAAAAAACTTTGTTTTTGCTATTAAGGCAAAAGTGAAACAAAACTTCAATGCCTACATTGTCAGGGAAAAACAATAGATTTTTTTAAACACTTCACTATTGCTTTAATTCTACTCTCACTGAAGTCAGTAAGACTTTCATAATTGTCTTCAATAAAAGCAGAATTAAGCCTCCATAGAATGCTTTTCAAAATTTCCCTGTAGTGGTATAAGTTACCAGAAAGCAAGCAGCAAAGAGTTGGCAGAGGATAAAAGAAGTTCCACAGAAAGTGTGTTGAGCTGAGTCAGAAAGGAGTGTTCAATATCAAGCCAAAGAGGCCCTTCACTTATAAGCAAATACTGAATGCTCAAATTATCTTGAATTTTTCAGTAATGGTTGCCTGATATCTTTCTACTAAGCACTAAAAAGTCAGACCCCAAAACCATCACCAAGACACAGACACTCATGACACAACCATTTGATATTTTAGATCTCATTCTAAGCTATCTGGAAGTGTTACAAAACCTATATACCAGTGGCCCCCAACCATTTGAAGCTGCTGGGCGCTAGGGGGCGTGGCCATTTGACTGCTGGGCACCAGGAGGAAGGGACACTTGCGCACCCAGGGGCGGGGCCACGTATACGCCACACCCCCATGAGCCACATGCCTGGGGCCAGCAACCCTATGTGCCACGTGGCCACGGGTGGGGCCACCCATTCACAGCAAGTTTGGGGCTAGCGTCCTCCAGAGCTGCGCGCCCAGGACCGGCACTCCCCCATAGTCGCACACCCAAAGCCAGCACTCCCCCCCAGTATCTACATGCCTGGGGGCAGGGAGGCCAATTTGCCGCGCCCCCGGGGGCCAGAGCACCCACTTCGCCACGTGCCCAGGGGCCGGCGCTCCCCATGCTCCATGCGCCTGGGTGGGGCCAGCCCTGGGCACTTGGCAAGTGCACACAAATGCAATGTGTTGGGGATCACTGCTATATACCATTCGTTCAAAACACGTATCTGTAAGTTACATGCTGTAACAATAAGATACTAAATTATTCTAAAATCAGCAAAACTGAATTAGGTATCTCTTTGGGTTGGAGGAAAGGACAACAGGACTTCACTATGTGTCCCTGATATCACAAGGGAGAAAAAGGGGACAACCTGACCAGAGCTAAGGTGGGAAACTACTGTACATGAAAGCTCTGATTGACCATGTATACCAGGGAAGGGAGGTAATTATACCCCATGCATACCAGAAGGAGAACACACACTCAGTCTGTCAGCAGGACCCATCTTCCTACTCATGGGATCAAAGTAGAACAAGTTTCATGATCTGCTGCTTGTACTGATTGCTTTTTTTCTATTTTGAATTGGAAAGGAATCTGACATCACCTTCTCACCTTGGTCAGAGACCAAGAGATGTAAGTAAGTAAATTACATGAAGATGTTGCAACTTAGGTAACACATGCAACAGGTGTCCAGTGCAGATACTCACTGGAGGTAATATGATTGCCTGAGAAAAAAAAAGAGTTGGAAGTGGATTTCAGGGAATGAATCCCCTAAAGAAAGCTGGAAAAAGGAAGACGGGGTTCCAAACATCTGGTACCACTCCCCCCTTTTTCCTCAAGCCCTCTTTAATCCTTGTACAGTTTAATGGTGAGGTCCCAGCAACGGGTAGGGCTAATGGCAACCCTCCAAAGTGTTAATGATTAAGGAAAGAATCAATCTGCACTGCATGACTTATTGCCAGATTTATTAGAAGAATAAAATTGCAGCCTAAAGGAGTCAAATACATTACAGTTTGTTTTTCTTCCTATGTCATCAGAACCAAGGTAGTAGCCCTCTGACTGCTCTTAGAGCAAAACATTTTTACTGGACTAGTGTACAATAAGCAGTATTTTCACATTAACAGTATTACTTTAACAATGTACTGCTGCACAAGTTTGGTGCAGCAAATTTTACTTACAAGCATCCTAAGACTTACAATTACGGAGTACTTATATGTAAATGGAAGTATGCTTTTAAGTGTTTCGTATATGTAGAATCTTGAGATCTGGTAGACAAGGTTCACATAAGGATACCGATGTCTAAGCACTGGAATCCCAGTACAGGTTAAACCTCTATTAACTGGGACTGTCTGGTCTGCCGACATCTGTGGCATGGCATGGATATTGCAGGACCAGAGGTCTGGTGGAGAGCTGGTGGCCAGGAGTCCTTCAGTCTATGAAGCCCAGCACACAGCAGCAGGAGGGAAGCTCGCCTCCTGCTGGTAGCAAAGCCAGGGCTGGGAGGGGCTGGTGGCAGTGGGAGGGATAGGAAGACCTCCACAGTCCGGCAAAATCCCTCACTCTGGACCAATCAGGTCCTGAGGGTGCCAGACCAGGGAGGTCCAACCTGTAGTTGTGCTCATTCTAATGGCAGGAGGATCTCTTACTTTATCACTTATTAAACTTGAGAGCTATTAAGAACACTCTTTTCAACCTCAGCTTCTGAAGCTGCGGCTAGATAGGCTCTACTGTGACTAGCATTTGATGTCCTAAAGAAAAGAAATTACAAGCGCTAATAATCTATTAAAGCAGGCAATTAGGTATTTCAAGTCATATCTGGAATTCAAGTATCAGAGGGGTACCCGTGTTAGTCTGAAACTGCAAAAACAACGAGGAGTCCTGTGGTACCTTATAGACTAACAAATTTATTGGAGCATAAGTTTTCGAGGGCAAAGACCTACTTCGTCAGATGCACATAGTGGAAATTCCAGAGGCAGGTATAAGTATAAAGTATAAAGGGTATAAAGTATAAAGAGTACCAATCAAGAATAAGGCTAGAGATAATGAGGTCAATTCAGTCAGGGAGGATGAGGCCCACTTGTAGCAGCTGATGTGGAGGTGTGAAAACCAAGGGAGGAGAAACTGCTTTTGTAGTTGGCTAGCCATTCACAGTCTTTGTTTAATCCTAAACTGATGGTATCATATTTGCAGATGAACTATCGCTCAGCAGTTTCTCTTTGAAGTCTGCTCTTGAAATTATTTTGTTGCAGGATGGCTACCTTTAAATCAGCTACTGTGCGTCCAGGGAGATTGAAGTGTTCTACAGGTTTTTGTATATCACCATTCCTGATATCTGATTTGTGTCCGTTTATTCTCTTATTAGGGACTATCCAGTTTGGCCTACATATATAGCAGAGGGGCATTGTGGCACATGATGGCGTATATTACATTGGTAGACGTGCAGGTGAATGAACCCGTGATGGTGTCACTGGTGTAGATGTGGGCAGAGTTGGCACCAAGATTTGTTGCAGGGATTAGTTCCTGAGTTAGAATTACTGTGGTGTGGTGTATAGTTGCTGGTGAGAATTTGCTTCAGGTTGGTGGGTTGTCTGTGGGCGAGGACTGTCTTACCTCCCAAGGCCTGTGAAAGTGAGGGATCGTTGGTCAGGATGGGTTGTAGATCACTGATGATGCGTTGGAGAGGTTTTAGCTGAGGCCTGTAGGTGATGGCCAGTGGTGTTCTGTTGGTTTCTTTGTTGGGCTTGTCTTGTAGTAGGAGGCTTCTGGGTACACGTCTGTCTCTGTTAATCTGTTTCCTCACTTCTTTGGGTGGGTATTGTAGTTTCAAAGAATGCTTGGTGAAGATCTTGTAGGTGTTTGTCTCTGTCTGAGGGTTTGGAGCAAATGCTGTTGTACCTTAGTGGTTGGCTATAGACAATGGATCATGTGGTGTGTCCGGGATGGAAGCTGGAGGCATGAAGGTAGGTATAGCTGTCACTTTTTCAGTATAGGGTGTTGTTTATGTGAATGTCATTTATTTCCACTGCAGTGTCCAGGAAGTGGATATCTTGTGTAGACTGGTCCAGGCTGAGTTTGATGGTGGAGTGGAAATTGTTGAAATCAATTGTTAATATCTGGAACTGTATGCCCAGTTTGAGGACTATCATGAAAAGTGCTATTGAAGTCCTCTCTAATTCTCATTACAGAGAATAACTAAGGTAAATTAATGTTATGAGGGGTACAGTTTAAAAAAAAATTCAATCCATCCTTTCTTTTGACACCAACTCTATAAAAAAACAAGCTGTAACTTTAGTTTTTCACATCTCTGCTCTGAAAAGTGTTTCCTTTTATAATTTTCAAACTAGTCAACTATCCAATAAGCAAATGTTAGTCACTTTGCTCCGCCCCTCATGCTGCCCCTATCTGATAGAGGCAGTGGGGGGGGGGGAGGGGAAGGAGGAGAGGCAGAGGCAGAGGCAGGAAGAGGGGTAGTTCAAAGCAGCAGCACCGTTTGAAGCCTGGGGCTAGACCCTGGGCTCCACATGACACTGCTGCTTTGAAACACTGTGTGCAGCCCAGGTTGTTATACTTCAAAGGTGGAGGTGCCCTATCGACTTATCAAATAGTCAATGAAAAATGTATCGACTATTCGATCAATCAGTTACCCGATACTTACCATCCTTATTTCAGAATGCAGTTAGCTACTACTGAAGGTTTCCAAATCCTGTGGTGAGATTTTAAGAAATGAGTAGTGTAAACATCTTCTAGCTATGCTTGCTAAGATAAAAGTAACTTAATATACTTCATGGCAACAGCAGAGAGCCACAATGAGCCAGTACAAATATTATCCCACTGCCACAACACTGCTATTTAGTCAAGTGGATCCCTACTTTTTCCTTCCTCTGAAAGATCAGATATCACCAAAGCAAGAAACAAGATAGTGGGGCTTTGAAGTGGGGAAATTTCAGTGTCATAAGCGTGTGGAATTCAAGTTAGTCAGGTCTCTTCCCAAATTTCAACATTTTGAATAAAACCAACAGCATTTTCTTCAACTTAAGAACACGGACAGTAAAATTACCTGTTCTTTTGCTAGTTTCTGCTGTTCTCTTCTTCTGCGCTCTTCTTCATCTACCTTGCTAATGATAATGTATCTTTCCTTCTGAAAGTAGTAAGGTCAAAAGTAAATTATTTCAAGAACAGCTTGAAAAAAAGAAAGGTGAAAAGTTATAACAGTATCCCAACACGAATACAATCATGATTTTCTATCTACATTTCCAACGTAAAACTAAATTGCGTCCATTATATTCAGAGTTTAGCTGCAACAGTTTACTGTGTTTACCCCTTATTTTGTTCTAGGAGCTTATAATTTTAATAAGATTATCTAAGCTGAACGTTACATAACAAAGCCTAAGGGAAACGGTTTCAGTGGGTTTTTTTAATCCAGTATTTTCCGATGATCTGGGGGTTGCCTAGCTTTTTGGGGAGAAACATAATGCTTAACGCCTGCTGCAATTATTGTTCTATCATCAAACCGCTCAGATGACTAAGGATTCATGCTTGCACTGATACTCTCAATGTACTGAATGTAAGATTGATTAAGTATTTAAAATAACCATTACAGACTCCACTCACACACTTAATATATAAATAAGCTACATATTTGTATGCATACCTCATGAGTTTTGAAATCTGGCCACTAAGGCTGTTCAAAAATATTTTCTTAGTTTAATCAAAGTTTAAAAGTTTGCATAACAGTTTCAGCAGGCAAATTCAGAGCTGAAGCAGCATGTAATTTCATTAGGATGGAGATTTTGCTTACACAACACACACATTTAGGACAGTATGTTGTTAATTACCTTCTCTGTCTCCAGAGTTTCGACATGGATACCTTTTGGATACCTACAGCAAACAGTGAAACGTCAACTACAGTTTAGGACTAATTTTGTAGTTTGTATACTGAAACTCCACCTTCAAACAGACTAACATTTATACCTGCACAACTTATAGGAGGATACAGATAGGCTAAATATTAAATACAAAAAATTGTTCAAGGCAGTTTTTAACCAAAATGAAGTGGGGAAATTCAAAGTACCACTATTCAATAATACAGCCTTCTTGTGTGTGTCAAGACTTCCAACAATTAGTATTATTTTTAGTTTCTAAATATTCTATGCCGATAGAGTTCTCACAGCTACAATTGTTCATCTAACTGAACTGCCTGACTTCAGTGCAATTAAATTAATCTGATGTTGGGTTAAGATGTTGCTTCTTATGCATTTTTTTTTCCCCCCAGAAAAAGCTTATTAAAAAAAATTACTAAGCTACCCATTCAGGAATGCATATCCACTGAAATTCCACAGGGAGCCCTCACTGTGCAGTATGGGTGCAGTCCAAACAGTTAAAAAGAAAAAAAAATCAGTCACAACAATGATAAAAATATTTTATCTGTAGATGCAGATATCCAAACACATATTTTAGAGTAACTTCCTCAGATACAATGAAAATGGTATGGAAAACATCGCGAAAAATGAGGAAGAATGGCTCTTGCGCAAGAGGGGGTTTTGTGCGAAAAGGAGCCGTCTACACAGCTTTTTGCGCAAAAGCCTCTTGCGCAAAAACAGCTGCTAATTATACAAATGAAGTGCGGCAATATTCTACTCCACGGTTCATTTGCATAAGCTTTTGCAGAAGAAGGCTGCAGTGTAGACATAACCTAAGTGTTTAGAGTAATATACTGTTACATAATTATAATCACTAATCTGCTATACTGTACTGTTCAATTTACATCTATTTAATAATTCTGAAGTGACAATAGAAATATGCTCGGTTTTTACAAAAAAATTCTAATGAACCATAAAAAACTTCAGTTTAGTCATATTAAAAGACTGCTTAAGAAAAGAAACTGAGTATGAGATAAATCACAGAACAGTTTTTCATCCTGATTTTTTTCAATGTTAAAAACAGCACAGATATAAAGTAAGGTAAGGATATACAGACGTGAAGACTACTAACTTACTTCCAGCTCAAGGTCTGATAAATTAATTTCCTCTGAAACCTTTAAAAACAGAAAAGAATAATGAGTATTTCAAAACTAACGACAAGTGTATATTCACTGCATGAACTTTTAACATAAAACAGTTCATGGTGTTATCACATTGTATCTTAAAGGACATTTAAAAGGCTAAAAACTAGTTAAAATTTCCAGATAAATTGATTTATACCTTATTGTTCACACACCTGCCCTTCTGATGAGAATGACATGACAAAAATTAATAGCTGACAGAACCAAGCAAAAATGTGTTTAAGTATTATTCACTCATGTCTATTTATGTGGAATAACTATTTCCTTTTTCATTTTTGTTAGTTAAGAAATAACTGTAATTCCAACGGTAGTGGGCCTAATACAATATTGCAATGTGTTTAATACCTCACATCAATCACCCCATATCACCAGCAACACACACAAAAAATATGTGAACACATGAAGAACACTGATTCCAGTGGAAAAAGCAGTTTAAAGAGCCATCTTGATAATCAATAGGAAGGGCACTTGAAGTTAAATAATTTAACTTAAATTCTAATTAAAGTATAATTTATGAAGAACACCTCTGTGATTCATAACATTTCACGATATATGTACATTTACAGTTATCTATTTCAAGTAATGCCAGATGCATACTGGTATGTGCTAATACCACCGCAGAATTTCAGGATTAACATTTGGAAGTTTAGACCTTTTAAACAAGAAAAGGTACCATAACTCCACAACAGCAAGCGTTTACTTCCAGCGCTCAAACAGTTTTTGCTACTGCTACTGAGGCATACATTTGTTAAGACACTGTGTGAAGACCTACAGAAAGAGGCTTTTCCTATACAGGTCAAACTGAATTTCTTATGGGGAAGACAGTTCAGAGTTCTGTTTGCCAGAGAGCTAGTGTTTCTTTTAAAAAACTGACCCTGTGCATGGATCCAACTGCAAATTACTGTTTTCTTCATTTTGTATTAAATCTTCTATTTGCTCCCTGGAGGAAATAGAGTAAGCAGATGATTTTTTGCATTTATTAGTACAACAGTATTTTCACAGAAGCATTTTGTGATACATAGCTATAGACAGACAGACACAGAAAAAGACAAGGCAAATCTTTTATAGGAGGGATTAACGAAATATTTAATAAATGTTTATTACATGTCTATATATTCTTTCATCTTTACACAGACAGTATAGTGATAAATACTAAATCTTGTGTAATTAAGAAATAAAAAACCCCAAAAATTAAGCATAGCAGACTTAAATGGCTTTGTATTTAAGGGCCAGAAAACACACAGCCATTGTTTTCCAACTAAGATCATAAACTGAAAACTGAATTATACTTTAGCTGTGATTATGAAAAACTGCCAAGCTCTTCTGAAAATCATCAAAAGCAGTGTTCCCTGTAAACTGAGCGCTTGGACAGCCACCCAGGAGAAATTCAAACACTACTTAGCTGATTAGCAGAACGCCCACAGATGGTAGTGTGTGTTTCTATTAGTGGGGCACATCTCCACTGCTTTGGTGCATGTAACAAAATTGATTCCACACAGAGATGGAAAAAATGAGGGGGAACATTGATCAAGAGGCTAACAAATGTAACCAACAATTCAAGCACTCTTGATGAAGTTAAAGATAAGCAGCAAAAAAGCCCGATGAAAAGGAACAGAAGTTTCCCAGACTTAAACCCCTTAATTCAAAGGAACATTTTGTTGAGATTTACAAATTGAGAATCAGAACACTGGTAACCTTCAAGTTTTTAGGCAACTTCAGAATGGAAGATTTCCACATAAATAACGTGTGCACACATTAGGATAACATGACTTCATTGTGATATTTCTACTTACACCACTCTATCGATGAATTTTTTCTGATCCTCAGGAATAGTCACAGGACACTTTGTGGCATTAGGAGAAATGTACGAAAGGGTCCCTGCACCATTAGACTGCGAACGTTTTTCATCATACTGCTCCCGTAACTGTCTTTCCTCTTCCTGATTTAAATATGGGATTCCTAAGAAAAACATTTTACAGCTTTAAAAGCAATATTGCACATCTCAGAGAGGATTAGTAACTATTCCTATCATGTTATACTCTTAAGAATTGGGAGCAATGCATCTGTACCCTTCAAATATCTTTCCTAAGTTTCTCTTTCCTAATCTCTAGTTGCTATGGATTCCTTTTGAGAAGGCACTGGAAAAGCTGGCACCTCCACGAGTCTCAAGCATGGTAGGCTCTGCTCCTGCAATCTGATCTTCACAGGCAGACCCTATTTCTGCAAAAAGCCTCACTGAATTTGATGGATGCTCAGATTGTTGATCCATGACTGGGTATCCTAAATACTACAACAAAGCAAATAAATAAGGAATAAGGATCTATCAATATGCATATAGCTCAACATCAGGGCTGCAGATTGCTATGGATGTCAAGAAGCTTGAAGTATCAGAGGGGTAGCCATGTTAGTCTGAATCTGCTAAATCGACGAGGAGTCCTGTGGCTCCTTATAGACTTAACAGGTTTATTGGAGCATAAGCTTTCGTGGGTAAAGACCGACTTCGTCTTTGCCCTGACAAAGTGGGTCTTTGCCCATGAAAGCTTAAGCTCCAATAAATCTGTTAGTCTATAAGAAGCTTGGAATAGTTGCTATGTCCCTTGCAGAAAAGATTTCCAACACATCTGGGCCCTGCAGATTCTAATAACTTAAGAAACATGCCACAAAAAGGAAAGGGTTGAGCATAGGAGTAGCTGTAACTGGGACCTAAATTGAGAAAAAAGTCAAAGATTGGCACATGGTTATAGTAAGTATCACAATTATCCAATCAGTGTGAAGACATAGCAAATATAGTACTTACTACAAGAAAGTCCTTTCAGAAAGATTACAACTTTGCTTTGTGTTCAACCGCTGAAAAACAATCACTTAAACAAGTAGGCATTTTCCATGAAATAGCCAAGCAAAGCTGGATGAAGTCCAGTGGTAGGCAACCTGAGGCCCCTGGGCTACATGCTACCCAGGCACACCCTTTACTCCTCTTTTCCCCATATGCACAGGGGCACTTACTCCTCTCCCTACTTCCCAGCAATTTCAGAGGGCTGTGAACTGCCTGATTCATGGCACTCAAGCTGTCAATCAGCTAATTCACGACACTCCAAAAGTGCTGGGAGGGAAGGGAAGAAGTAGGTAAGTGGGGATCTCCAAAGTCCAAGTGCACAAGAAGCTTGGGGAAAAGAGGTGGGAAGGGGAGAGGCAGGGCAGTGCGCAGGCTGCCCACAGGTGGAGCCTCAGTGGAACTTCAATCTTGAGGCCCACTGACAAGTCTTAGTTGCCCATTGCTGATACAGTCACCCTACCCCAAACATTCCCCACAAATACTGCATAGAACAGTGTTTCTTAAACTGTGTTCCACAGCACACCGGTGTGTCACAAGGCCGTCAGAGGTGTGCCGCAGAGAACAGAATTCAAAATGGCCACCCTTAAAGGGGCAGGCAACCTTTTTTTTTTTGTTGTTTTTGATCAATAACTTCCCCCCAACCCCCGCACCCCCAACAAAAAAATCTTTGGTGTTTCCCATAAAAAAAATTGTTTGGTGTTCCTTGGTCTTAAAAAGTTTAAGAAACACTGGCATAGAATGTTATCTGCATTATTAAAACACCAAATAAGCTACAACCTTAACACAATTTTACCAAAAGCTTAAAATGTAGGTTTTGCCTTTTGTTTTAACAGGAAATGGATGAAAATATAGTACATTAAAAGTATGCTGTACAACCAAAAAAGCTTACCATTGCGAAAAACTTTATTAAAATCAAATCCTTGGTTTGCTAAAAAGTCTATACTTGAACTCTAGGAAAAAAAGAAACAACTTTGAAACTGATTATACACCACTGAACATTAAGTTAGTGAAGTCAAGATAGTGCAATGAAAAAGTTTATTAAAAGCAAGTTTAATAGGGAGTAGAACAAGTCATTCATAATTAAATCTCTCCATCAGTATTTTGTCCTTGCTTGTTCTGAAGAGGAGATCCACAGCTTGCACAATATGGATAAAAATACATCCCAAAACCTTGCCATCAAATCCACCATAACACCAATTAACATGTAGCATAGTGTTTAAATCATCATGAAAACACTGAAGTATGTACCATTTCTGATGTAAGTTAGAAAATAGAATCATTATTTTAGTTTGCTCAATGAGTTAAGTGTAGCTCAAGATTGTTTTAAAGTGTAATTATAATATTATGGGAATTTAAGGAATGAATAATAGGCAGGGCTTGACAAATCATGTAATCTACTCGCCCGTGGCTCTCAGAACCGCGCGGCTGGCGAGCAGGGCTCACTGCCACTTGGCGAGCCCTGATAATAGATATATAGAAACAGATATATTGATATGCAACGTTCTGTAACAACAAAAGAAGTAAAGAACATTGACATTCTGTACTCAACCAAGCTATACATGATTTTTTATCACTTGTGGTACAAAGGTGTAACAAGTGTTGGAATAAAGTCTTGTGGACAGGGCATGACTCTACATTACTTTTGCTGGAGTTCCATTAGTGTTTAGCACTGACCATGACATACTGATCATATTTTTAATGAGGTAAGGATGAGAAACAGGAGAAGAATAAAAACGTAAGGAGAGAAGTTGTGTGGAGACCAGGAGGAGGAGAGGGACCACATGAAGGAACTGGTGTGGTAAAATCCCATGAGTTCAAAAATTTTGGAAACAGTTTTGAGAAGCAAGGAAAGAAGAAGAGATAGGGAAAAAAAAACAAGGGAAAAAAGCTAGATAAGAAAATACTTTATAATGTCGTAACTTTCACTGTCAGCATCAAATAGTCAACTTTGTCTCCAGAAAAAAAAATTAAGGGGCATGACCGTCACAGCTTTTTTCACCCAAGTGTCCTTCATTTACAGAATATGGTCCCATTAGGTTTGTTTCTTTTGGTTTAAGGAAAACTTGATTTCCTTCCCACTGCACTGGGGAAAAAAATCCACGAAGGGTGAATTATACATAAGCGAAAATACTTAGACTAATAAAAGTTGAAACCATACAGAATTTTCAAAAATAATTTTGAAAAGTTTTCTAGTAGCAATATAAATAAACCTGGTTTTCTACTAACCTGACAGACAAACTTGACATCTGGTGAACTTCTATTGAAGGGTTTTGGAAAAATATAGAAGTTAAATGACTTCATTATGTATCTGTGAAAATTAAGAGTTACAAGTCAAAACAGAGCTTATCAATATTACCCAGTATTTTAAAAATTAGCAATAAGTCAAGGAAACCACATACTTAGCTTCTGTGTGGTTATATTTAAAACTACAAAGGCCAAACTGAAAAAGCAAGAAATCCATGGAATGCTGAAAAAGAAAAGAAAAAAAACTGAGAATAATGGTTACAACACATTTTAAAATATAACAGGTATTCTGGGGAAGTTATCTAAGTGTCTCTGATAAATATAGGAATCACTGGGTTAGCTTTAAAGCGAAAAATGTTTTGGCATAAGTTTAAATCTTAGTTTAAAAGGACATGTGGCTAGGTAAAGTCATGTTTTTAAAAAAATTATTCACTAACATTCTATTTTTCTTTTGAAGTTTAGCATTTCATTTTTACCTTTTTTTTCTTCCCCCCATTTTTGGAATTTTTTCAGCATTTCACTCAACTTGGACAGTGAAAAAATTCACTTTGTTTCTCATGCAGTAGGGCTATATTGTTCCAGCTTCCATTACTGCAGAGGAATGAACTAACTCCAGCTTTTTTAAATGAAGTCCTTTACTATTTATATTAAAGGGACCCCATTGACTTGATCAATTTAAAGTGTGTTCAAATAGTCTGAAGTGATGAACACACCTCAAGTACCTCCTGACATCTTTTCTAACCTAACAATCACCTTTCCAAAAGTTGTTTCTTCTCCACTGCTGTACACACAACCCACAAGAGGTGAACCAGACAGACTATTCAGGGGGAGACAGTGGAACTGTACACAAAAAACTAAAAAAGCCACAAAGAAAATAAAATGAAAAATAGAACCATTCTTCTAACATCTTGAATTCTAATAATCTTAATTATAAATCTCTAACAATAGCAGATACAATTTATAGATACGTGATTTAAATTTGGTAAACCCTTGTTTTAAAAATCTACTGTTGGGGCCAACAATACTTTTAAAGCAGTGGTTCTCAAACTTTTTGGCCTGCAGCCCACCCTGCTCAATGCAGACCTTTCTGTGTACCACCAGCCAACCACCAAAGATGACAAAATGGGTGCAGGAAGGAGTGGAAGTGCAGGGTCTTGCCGGCAGGTAGGGTGCAGGAGCTAGTTGGGTGTGGAAGTCTGGCCAGAAGGTTGGCTGCAGGTGCAGGCTAAGGGTGGGCAGAAGGAAGGGTGCAGGAGCAAGTTTGGGGTGTGGCAGCAGGGGATGCATGAGGGTACAGGTTCAAGGCATTAGGGGGAAGGAGGGCGCTTAGTTGGCCCTATGCCTCCCAACACTCCCAAGCCCTGCCCCCCACTACTCCCACTGGCGGTGATTTCAACCAACCGAAGCAGCAGGGAGAGCCTCTAAATGAGCCATTTCCCACGCTGCCATTCCCCTAGCCAATGATTATTAGAGCGCCCACAGCTAGGTTTTTGTTTCTACTGGTGGTGCACATTTGCACATGCCTCGGTGCACAGAGAAAAATGTCTTATGCACTTGGATGGAAAAAACCTGCACATAAATGGAAAAGAGTAGAGAGAACACTGATTTACGCTCCAAGCTTGCTGCATCCTAACTATTCATCTAGTACAGAGGTGGGCAATAATTTTTCAAAGGGGAACACTTCACAAATTTCAGAAGCGATCACAGACTGACCAAGAAGGGGTGGGGTTGAGAGCTACCCTACCTGGAGCTTTGCTCGGCCTGGGGTCCCTGACCCCTGACTTCTGGCGAACGAAAGGGACCCGGAGCAGAGGGGAGGGTACCAGGGGCTAGCCTCCCTCCCACAGTTGTCTGGGGTGGAGGCTTAGAATTCACATCATAAGCTCGCAACGCCTAGCCCCACTGCTAACTTGTTGCCTGGCAGCCACTCTGCAGGTGCAAGCCCTTGGAATAGAACTAGTTGAAAGGACTCACGCATCCTGGGCAGCTCCCAACCAATGGGCTAGTGTGGGGCCAGGAGCCCTTTCAATTGCTTCTATTTAAAGGGCTTGCACCTGACTTGGGGCAGGCACCAGCCCTTTAAATAGAAGCAGTTAAAGGGCTCCCAGCACTGCTAGCGCATTGCCAGGGAGCTGGGACATGTGATCCCTTTCAACTGCTTCTATTTAAAGGGCTTGCACCTTCCCTGTGGCTACTAGGCAACATGTTCCCTCACAGGAACGGAGAACATGTGAGCCCTTTAAATAGAAGCAGTTAAAAGAGCTTGCACATCTCCGGCCCCCCGGCAATGCACTCAGGGTGGGCCTGGGAACTGCCATGCGGGCTGGACCAAGACCTAGGCAGGCCAGATCCAGCCCACTGAGAGCCTTTTGCCCATCCCAATCTAGTACATGTTCATAAGTACATACCACCACACAGCTCTGAGAGCAGAGTGGACACCAGAGGCTGCTAGCTGGGTGCCCAGCTCTGGAGACAGCACAGAAGTAAGGATGTTATCATTCATCAATATCGCTTTTCACAGCAGATTTAGCAACCCCCCCCCCCCCACAC